ATCAGGAAGGGGGTCAACACTTTTTCACACCACTGTATATATATACACTACCAGAACACTTGTACCATTCAAACGTTTTTATTATTTTGTGAATAGTTTATTATAAAAAGCAAATATGACTATTATTGACTACTATTATTTTTTATTTCATCTTGACTAAAGGCTCGTTCACAAAAGGCAGTTAACTATATAGATTTAATAATCACTGTAATTCTATGAGAATAGGGAAGTTCACACCACAGTTATAACAATAACCACACAGAAGAACGATAACATTAGTTAATCACTTTCAGAACAATTTTTTTTCTTTTCCCATCTGATCAATGCTAAAAAACGTTGACGGACAATCTCAAGCACTTGAAGTGGCAGATGACATAACTGCAGCCTTCTCTTTATCATCTGTTGGTGTGGATGCTAATATGGTTATCGTTCTTGGTGTGAATGAGCCTTAAGTTGTACGTAATGTGATGCCTGTGTGTGTTTCTAACCTTGTACACATAGAGGTATTCCCTGAGGAAAGCAGTCTGCTGTACAGCTGACTGTTTGCTGTCGTTGATGAGAATGTGCCGGAAGGCGGCCACTGCGTTGTCTGGCTGCCGCAGAGTGAAGGACTGCCGACCGATGGTGAAGTTGATGTGATCTTCAGCCAGTGCCCAACCTTTACCTTTATACACCTGCAAAGCCTGGCAGTAGCACCTCAATGCATGTCTCTTCTGTAACAGAAAGGGAGACAGTGTGAACTGACTGACATATTAAAAGACTGCGTCTATATCCGTGAGAGAACTTCATGTTACTGCGTCAATAGCTTTCACAGCTGTTAAAACAACATCAGCTTCCAGGTGAAAATTGACAGCCTGACCTCTTCTGACTTCATAAACAGCTTTTTCTGATCTCTTCAGAGCCAGTGCCTTTTCAGATGTCTTGTAAGCTTTTGATTAATCCATGGCAATAAGCAGCAAACTTAGATGAGTCAATCAAACTTTATCAGTTAGCAAGATATCAGCATTTGACACTCAAGATGAGGCCTGGCATAATGGTCACATTATAGAGCAAGAGTATGTATGCTTCCTAGGGGTGG